TGATCGTTCGGTACTTATTTGCCTCAAGTATTTTTTCATTGAGCATTCGTCAATTGAAGTATCGGCAAAATGTCCTTGTAAAAAGGGTAATAATCTTAAAGACAATAATATTATACGAAACACGCAGCATTAATGCAACTAATGGTTGACTCGGAGGGCTTTACAAAAGCGAAGTCTCAGCTTATTATTCGGATCCTAATGCGGCATCAATAAAATTGCAAAAGCCCGCTAGACGATGAGGTGGAGAGGAGCAAGGGAAGAGATATAGCAGAAAAAACAAGGAGAGAAGAAGAGGCCGCAACCCGTGCGCAGAGCCCTGGGGCTCTCGCTCTCTCTCTCTCTCTCTCTCTCTCTCTTTCTCTCTCTCGCCGGTGCAAAAGGTAAAAGCCAAATCGAGTTAAAGGCTGCCGCGTCAGGAGGCAACTGCCGCGGCCACCGAGCAAAAAGGGCAAAAAGCGGCGCGGCATACAGTGGAAATGGTGCGCCGCTGCTGACGCGTACACCCGCGCGAGAAAGAGAACGAGCGAGGCCCAGACGGTCGGCGCGTAATGAAAATGTATAAGAGAAGCGCTCGTAGTGGAAGAGCTCGCGATGCAAAGCAGCGATGGCCGAGCGGACGGCCGAAATCGATCGACGCTTCGGACGGTAGCTCGCGCCCCGAGGAGCCCGCGCGTTCGCCGTGGCAATCTCATTTCGTAGACGAACGCGTCGACTTGGCGCGATACCGGCGAACCGATTACCGCTAGCGACGTGGAGCTCGCGGTCGCGACTGGCAGCGAGCGGCCCAGTTGCCGTCAATTATCCCGGAGGGGAGCGCGCGCGCGCGACTGCGGATCGGCCATGAAATTGAACGATCAAACATCGGCGAGGCAGCGAGAGAGTCGATTGCCACCTGAGAGTGGAGTCTCGCGCACGACCGGCCGGCCGAGGAGGAAAAAGAAGTGTCGGCTTGGAGAATATGTATCCCGTGTGCATCTCCGTGAGAGGCGCTGTGTACACACGGAGAAGCACAAAGGAGCTGCATACCTGGACGAGAAAGCCGATACGTTCGGAGTCGAGAGAGAGAGAGAGAGAGAGAGAGAGGTGTGTGTGTGTGTGTTTGCGCGTGCGCGTGCGTGTGAGAGGAACAGGTTCTCTCTCTCTCTCTCTCTCTCTCTCTCTTTCGCTCGCTCGCGCGCGTATATTCACCGAGCTGAAAACCTCGACTCGCCGTTGCCTCTAAAGTATACCATGCGGTAGCAGCAGCTACGACAGCAAGCTACATTTTTCGTCTAGAGCTGCTGCTCTCTAAGAGAAAGAGAGAGAGAGAGAGAGAGAGAGAGAGTTTACTGCAAATTGCGAGGGAGGCACCCGCCACGCGCACGCCTACCTCACTCGTGCGCAAGGCTCGCTGTGCCTTTTGTCCCAGCCACGGCTTCGTGGCTACTTTCTTCGTTCTCTTCGGCTTTTGCAGATGAGAGATTATCGCGCGGCTCGCCGCCGCTCGTCCCCCTTCTTTGTCCACGTCAATCACCGTTCGGCAAGTTGGCTTCGTCGGGAGACGGCGACCTTTCCACGCTGTAACGCGAGAGCGCTTTCCAATGTGACTCGCCGGCTGTGCGCGCGAGCCTCGCTCGACCTTTCGCTGCCGCGCGATAGTTACAATTTCAATAAAGTTTCGCGCCAGCGAGAACTAGTCAGCTCGGGAACGGCGCCAGCTCGACGATCAACGTGGCGCTCCTCGCGAAAACAATCGAGAGCGAAGCGATGCCGTCGCGGTGGATTCCTTCATCCAGAAACAAGCCAATCGGCGCCAATAAACTTGATGCGCGTAAAGCTGTAGAAAAATCAACCGCGAGGGAGGGAGGGAGAGAGAGAGAGAGAGAGAGAGAAGGAGAAGAGGGGGCATCTCATCAATCACCCTTAAGGACGCCTACTTGCTACGGGAGTCGCGCGGGTAATGAATGGAGCGCCTCGGACAGGCGAATCGACGGTTTCCGATAGAGTTCGACGGGCAAGTGCGCGGACCAAGAGCACTGTGCCCTCGGCCCGCGCCTCGTACCAATCGCCAGCCCCGAGCACCATCCCTGCGCGACGCGTGAATTCGGGTGCCGCGGACCGGCGCTCGGATGAGTCATTGTCGACGAGTACAACGCGACGCCGTCTCTGCCGCGGGTTCAGGGTCATGCACCCCGCGAGTCTCACGTACGGAGCTGAGCGTGCGAAACCGAGAGAGAGGGCGCCCTTCTCCTCCCCCTCCTCGTGCGTCTTGTCCAGCCACGCGCGTACGCGCGGGGTTGCACCGATCGGCGGCTTTCCAACCTGGCGTTCCTCGCCCTGCCTGTCCCCTTTTTACGCGCTCAACAAATCTCCCTCGCTTCGTTATGCCGCGGCGCGCGCTCCGCTCACGGGATCGCCATTTCCTTTTTTTTTATCTCTTTTTTTTTCCACGGCTCCGCCTCGCGCGCGCCGCGGATATTACTTCTCGAATCGCGGCCAAGCGTCGCGTTCTGTGCGCAACGTTGGAGGCAGAAAACGCATCGGGCGCTCCATGAATAAATTACGAAGGCGAGGGTGTATAATATTCTCGTTGCGCAGCTTAAAGAATAAAAGAAAGAAAGGAAAAATTAAGAGCGCATTATCTCGAGATATCGAGGAATTTAAAAATCGCTCGTTAGTCGAAATATCATACGATCGGCGATCCTCGCGCGTTGCGACGTCGCCGCGCGCTGCTTCTTTTCTCATTTTCTCCTTATCGGCATCTACGTTGATTGCACGCGACGGACCTGCATTCTTTCGTCCCGCTCGCCTCTGTCGAAGGCACTCTCTTTCGTTGTTCCGCTCGTGCCGCCTGCACTTCACTCCGAAGAAATACGGAAAATCAACTTTCGAAGCTACCAGACGTTCGTCCAACGCCGGTAAAACTCGCGCTCGCAATAAATCGCAGACCCGCGGTCAACGAGGGAATCAATCTAACGAGCGTCGTACGCCAGAAGAGTATGTGGGTCGAGGCGTCGAAAGGATTTCTTGTTCAGGCGGCGACTGTCGATCACATCGGAAGGATTCAGCTTCTTTTGCAAAGCGCAGAGCTTCGGCTCGGTGCGAAGATTGTGAATGCCGACTTGTCTCGTCCAAGACCATCGTGACTGGCTTTCTAATTGCCATGGCGATTACATCGATCCGGTGCACTTGGACCGAGTTGGATCGTTTGTTGCAAGCGCGACTGGAAGCGCGCCACTGTGCCGACTACTTGGAACTGTTGTCGAATGCGGAGATAAGGCACATATTTACGCAAGCTTTCCACATTAACGATTCAAGGAATCTCTATACAGTGACCGTGGCCATACGTGAGAGGGCCCAACGTACCCGTAGCTCAAAACACACTGGAGCGCATTATACTCGCGTTCTGGACTGGCTTTTAGCAAACGACAGCGAAGCGAATAAGCTCGTTATCTTTCATTGTTTCAATGCCCTTTGAAAAATCGTTCAAAATAACATGTCGGCACAACGCGTAGTTCTTTTTTTCTTTTTTTTTTTTTTTTTACGGTGACCATCCTCCGAAAGAACGCACGGCGCTCCACCGTAAGAACAGCGGCACTTTCAATCGAATATGAAGCGAAGGTCAAAGAAGATGCGTCTTCTTGGGCGCGGTGCGAAACAACAACACGCGCATACAAGTGCAAACAAGCAAAGGCTTGGTTTTCGGAAATCATTCATCAAAAAATGTGCGAGCCCGTGGTGCACAGTTCACGGAAAAAGAAAGAAGGGAAGAGAGAAAAGAGAAAGAAAAGAAAAGAAAAAGCACGCGCAGCAGCACGTCGTCGTGGCGGCGGCGTCGGCGGTGGCGTGTAGTCGAATTCGAGCTCAGCCAAGCGAATACGAAAATGGAATGCGCCACGAGTGCACAAGTGCGTATAGCTGCGCAGAAAGAACCCTTCTAGACTTTCACGGATATAATAATCCCGTCTCGGAGTTCGCCTGTTGCACAATCGACTTCTGTCCTTCTTTTTCGTATGGTGCGCGGGCCAACACCGTGTGCACCTGGCGTGCGCGCCACGCAGCCATTCGCGCAGCGAAGAACGAGACGCCCAAAAGAGAAAAGGAAATGACGAGAGCGCGCGCGTGTTTTACGTAGTGGCGCGTCGGCGATTCAAGGTAGGGTGACGCCGAGTCTACGCGAGCACACGGTAAATTCTTCTTCTCGTTGCTGCGCTTCGCGGACAGCTGCCGATTGCAAACGCACAGCTAATACAGCCAATCTACTGCGATGCGGCGCTGCTCGCCTTTTATGTCAGCCAGACGCAAGCGGGCATCTCCCGCGATTTCGATTCCGTATGCGCGAGCGTCGCATCAGAAACGTCGCGATAATCGACCGCGAGAGCTGCAGTGTCTTGCCCGATGAAGGAAAAACCGCCGCGACACGAGTGACACGAGCGAGAAATATATGCACGCGTCGCCGCTGCGCGCTGTCTAGTCATCGCGCTAACAATGACTTGGAGCGCACGCATTTCGTCTCTGAATCGATGGCGTATCAACTGATTCACGCTCATTTCGTGTATCTTTGCAGTTTCTTAAAAATGTTAACCTTTCAATTGCACTATTCAGCTCGCGTAAAATTTCTTCGAGTCGCTCTGTATGATGCAACACCACCTGAAAAGACGCATGCTCTAAAAAGGAAAAAAGGAAAAAAAGAAAAAACAAAAGTCCCAACCACGTACAAAAAAAAGAACGTCGTCGTCGACTAATATATAGATCCTAAATCACGCGAAAGCGGAGAAGTTTAACAAGGAAAGTTTATCCACAAAAGCGGTTGGTTAAGGTTCACACACGCGCGCACACGTAAGCAGCAGTAGCATGGAAGAAGGGCAGCAAAAGAAGAGACAAGCAGCAGGCAGCAGTAACGCGGGGACGAGAGAGAGAGAGAGAGAGAGAGAAAGAGAGAGACAGTGGTGGGGCCTGAAGCTGCTGAGCTCCGTTCGGTTCTCACAGCTCTCGCTCGCGTCAGTCGCTCTTGGGGCCCCGCTCGCTGTTGAGCCTACTGGCCCCCGTTTGCACGCTTCTCGTTCCTTTCCTATTTCCGTTCCGGACGCACAAAACAACCCTCCGCCTCGCTCTCCTTCTCTTCTCTTTTCCTCTCTCTCTCTCTCTCTCTCTCTTCCCCTCTCCCCCTGTCCCTCTCCTTGTTTGGTCCTTCCTTTGTTTTTCGGCCGTTCGACGCGCTCGCGCGCCAGCGCGTCTGCCCGCTATCAGTGACGTGTGATTGTGTGTGAAATAATAACAGTGCGGACACGCTGCTGTACGGCGAACAGAGGCTTAACAAGAGTGGCAAGGTAAACAGCGAAAGAAAAGCTGGCGCGTCGCGGTCGCCTCGTAATGAAAGTGTGCGCGAGTGCCGCTGCTTCGAAAGACGCCAGATGCGCGCTGCGAACACGCGGCCGGGTCCGTTGGAATTTGTGAAAGGGCAGTACCGCTGCGCGCGCGCACTCTCTCTCTCTCGCTCTCGCTGCTGCGTGGCTTCTCTCTTGCTCGCTTCTGCGTGCGTATCGATGCAGCGTTCTCGGGACCACCGTATCTTCTCGCTTTCTTCCGAGAGACGCGAGATCTTCGCGAGGTTCGCGCGTCCACGACGATTAACCTAAATGTCGAGTAGCAGCCCGAGCGTAACGCGACTCCGCGGAAGCGACACGTGCAACTCGCCGCCCGCGAGCAGTGCCGGAGAAAGAGAGCAGCAGAACGCGAGCGCCGCCGGGCGTCCTCGTGTTCTCGACGGCGCGACGAACAATGAGGCACCCGGGCAGCGATTTCTCTTGCATTTATCGCGACGCCGCCGCCCGTGCTCTGCTTTTCTCACGGCCCAGGCAGCCCCCGCGGGCCAAAGCGTGCGCGGCGCGATGGTAAACAGCCGGCGAAATTACCTAGAGAGAGAGAGAGAGAGAGAGAGAGAGAGAGAGAGAGAGAGAGAGATCCCCACCCCCGCCTTGGGCCGCCTCCGACATCCGAGCGCGCCTGTAATTGCTGTCTTTCTCTTGCCTGGCTCATTTCATTAATCGCGCCTTCACTTTTCTCACGATCGACCGGTTGCGTTGACACGGCGCCGGCCGACCTTTCGAGTCTGGGCTCGTTTCACGAAAAACGATCGTTTCCGCTCGCCTGCTGCTTTTCTCTGTTTGTCTCTCTCTCTCTCTCTCCCTCCTTGGCGTGCGCGCCGCCGTGTCATCTGCATGGCGTACCAGCACAAAGCGGGCCGTAGAGACATTTTTTTTCTGAGCTCTCTGCGCGCGCGACGCCTTTTACCATGGTTATTCCTTCCTTTTTTTTTTCGTCGTTGTCGTAACTGCGTGCGCGTCGATTTACGGACGCCAACTTTACGAGCTCGCTTATTTTTTTTTCTCTTCGACCTATATGCCAACGGTCGTTAAACAAATACCAGAAGGAAAAAAAAACCAGAATTTCGCGACTCGTCGTAGTGGCGGTAATCCGTAATGGCTGTAATAACGCGTGCAAATGACTTGGTTTTCAAGTCTCATCGGCGTTACAACAATAGACGCGTTCTCGTACAATAATGCCGTCGCGTGCGCGCGTTCGCGCAAATATGCGCGGCGCTGCGATTAGAGGTTATTTGCGCGCGGCAACGACAATCGCAAGTTAGCGCGATTTTCAGTGCAGTCGAGCGCAGGATTGAAAACACGACGTCGGCCGAGAGATCGAAGGGCGCGCAACGGACGAAAAGCGCGTTCCTCGAGAACAGATGTGGCAGCCGAACGCTCTGCCGAGAATCAACGGTGACAATTCAGAATTACAGCGTTTAGGAGAGGAAGCTCCCGTTTTCTTCGCCGAGTCGAGCGTCAGCGGCTTAGCTGGCAAGCGGCAGGCGGGGCGACCACATGGTCGCATAGGCTTACCGAGAAAAAGGAGCAGGCAAGTCGAGGCCAAAAAGAGCGAGCACGCGCGTATCGCCGGCGGCTGTGAAAGTGCACGAGACACATGTGCACCGCTTTATATACTTTTTCAGCTCGTTACGAAACGCCACGCTGCCAGTTACGGCGTTTCGATCGAGCGCAGGCGCGCGCACGAGCAAAGGTACGAGCGATTCATAATCTGCCGAGGGGACAGAGGAGGTCGTCGTCGAAGGCAACGTTTGTCGCCTCGGCGACAACTGTCCACGCAGTTTTGCCGCGCGCGTCGCAGGATGTGGCCGGCGCGGCACAAGAGTCCCGAGTCATCCTTCGTGGAATCGAGAGGCATTTTTGTCACGGTTCCACGTTACACCACATACTGACCGGCGCTGACGGTGGCCCGTCGTTAGCGGCGCTACCTGCTGGCACCGTGGAGACCGTGATTCACCGCCGTTGCTCGTCCCTTCTCTACTGACTTTCTCTAAATATTCGACCGTCGCCCGCGACGAGCTTTTCGGTGCTGACTGTTCGCCCAAAAGATTTCCCGTCGTGACGAGCATCTACGATCGACGACTCGAGGGAAATAAGTCGCTTACGCCACGTATCCTATATGCACTCGATTGATTTTCAACTCTGTTAATAAACCATCTGGGGGAATCTCGTTTCAAAGATAAGAAACTCGCTTACCTCGCCCCCCTAGCCCTTAAGAAAACACTCGAAGAGAAACAAAACCGTTCGGCCCTAAAAGGAAAAAAGTTCTCGGATATATATCTTGTAAAAATATTTATTCAAGCCGGTCGCTCGGTGTGGATGTGTGTGCGAGATAAAGCTCTTTCTGTAAAATAGCTCGCAACATAATCGCGCTGAACAAACGCTCGGCGAAAGAGAAAGAAACGCGATAGCGAGTCCAGGTGTGTGATCGCGTGCTCGGCAGGGATGAGTTTCTTCTCTGCGGGCGCTTCTCTTCTTTTTCGTTTCTAATCTTCCTGCGCGGCAGAGAGTTTTGGGAAGGCGGCTCTCGAGTGCTTTTTTTTTGGCCCCCTATTTTTCGTTTTTGTTCTTTCCCTTTTCTTCGGGAGACTCTCGTGCGCGGACGCGATGACGCTCCTGTTTCCTGGGAAAAGTTTACGTCGACGATGATTGCACGTTGGTTATGTGCTGCGAGTACTTTGGAAAAGTTTAATGTGCTTAAACTTGCCGCGAAGATTAGTTCGAAAGTTTGAGGTAACGTCCTACCGTAACGTCGAATCGACTCGAAACGCGCTCGCAATTCGAGAGCACAGCAACAATCCCACTGCAAGTGCCCGCAAAAAAATGCGCAATCGGCGTAATACGGTAAATCGCAAGTCAACCGAGAAAGCTCGCTGCAGCGCGAAAAAAAAATATGGAATCGGCTCGGGCGTCTTGATGGCAATGAAAAAGAAAGAAAAAAGACGACGTCGTCGCCGAATAAGCAGAGCGAGGGATCGGCAAGAATGCCTTTCCCACGTGCGAACAAGGGGTCGACCTTAGACGATTCACGCTCGGAGAATGCTCTTCTCCCGCGCCCTCCCTCTCGCCGCGATAATCCTCTCGTTTTGTTTGCCTCAAATGAATACTTTCCCGTGACGGTTTCTTGGAAAATCGGCCGGTCGCTGGATCGCCTTCGGACGACTAGCGCCGTTCGACTATTCCTCGTTGGGTCGTTCCCGCTGGAAAACTCGGGTGGCTGCCCGCTCCGCGCGATGACTCGGTCCGTGAAGAATGTTCGTTCGACAAGCTTCCGAGGAACCACTCGTGATGCGAGTGTCGCGATCGTCGAAATTTACGCCCGACGCCACGCGCTCGGGTCAAGAGGTCGCATCGGGGATCGGGGCACCGCGTCATCCTTGTGCACATCGCGCGAGCCATTTTTTTTTTTTTTTCTATCTCGGTGATCTCTCGTATTGAACTCCACCGTGGCGACCGGTGCGGGAAAACCGGTGCACATGAATCAGCAAACTCTCGCTGATTCACTCTTTCGCTCTCGAGCACACAAATAAATAACGTTGAAATTCGCATGAATATTGTCGTTGCCCGTCGCCATTAGCATTCCTCTTGTAACTGTAAAAACCGTGTGAGCACCTGCGAAATCATCGACAGAGAGAGAGAGAGAGAGACGCAGCTGAATTATTCATGAATCCCGCGCGCGCGATGTGTAATTTCCCTCGCGGCGGAATCGCTGCGCGCGCAAGAGCTTCGCTTTCTTTTCGCGGCGACGAGTCTGTCATTATACCGATCGATGCCGAGCCCTCTGCATGCGATTATAATGCCAAGGGACTTGTCGGTTGCACACGAGCGAGCGAGCGAGGATGAGAGTCGCATGCGTTATGTGGTTTTTGCACTGGAGTCGAACGGCACAACTTCGCATCTTCTCACGACGGTTGTTATCGAAGTACGTAGATCGCATTGTTCTCCGCTGTTCGAAGCCCAGCGAACGCATCGCGTTTATTTGATGCGACGAGCGACGTCTGCGCGTAAATTACAAAAGCGATGCCTCGGACCGCGGGCGAGCTAATAGGATCAACGTGCGCGAGTCGTCGATTGTTATTTCGAGTGACGCATTAATATTAATGGCGAAATGAGAGAAGGATTTGCATGTAAACTCGATGCAGCTAGCAAGCGCGTCGACTGTTCTCTATTCGTGCGAAAGGAAAACCACGACGAGCGTCAACTTTTTCGAGAAATAAACGAAACGCATTGCAGTGATTTCGCTTGAGATCCCTTTAGCTCCAGAGGAGAAAATAAATAACGAAGAAAAAATGACGCGAGGAACGCGCGAGAAATCGATCGGGGATAATTCAATAAAACTCGATGCGTGAAATGTGTTTATACGTGGGATCGAAGGAACGGTCGCGTGCCGATATTCTCGGATCATCAATCGCAGATATAACGGCAAATGACGTTATAACGTTGAGTAACTTGATTACTCACGCTGGCGCGTGTGAAACCAACCCATCGCGATATACCTGCTTATTAAAACTCTCAAGCTTGTCCGCGTACAGTTTGTCGTTTAGCAAATTTTATGGTCGTTTCTAATACCTTGCAGTAGGGTCGTTTTGATGACTGCGAAACTCGCGATTCGTTTCGATTAAAAGAAAGGAAAAAATATTCGATCGGAACGGGAAAGTCGTCCTCGTATCGTCGGGGACGCTCCGCAGAAAAAACGAATGTTCTGGCCGACGCGAGCGAAACAGCAGTACGACACGATAGAATAATGCAACGGGGACGCGCGACATCTGGGAAGATTGACCCCGCGCGCGATTACGTACGAAAGGCACGCAGCGTCTTCAATTAATCGACTAATAAACATCCAACGACCTACAACTCGATACTCCATTCGCGTGGGACTGACCGGAGATTTTCAGGGTCTTATTGCTTAAGCGCAGCTCAAGTGGCTTGCTCTTATTCCTCTTTTTTTCGGGGACAATCAATTGTTGCCGCCTCGCCGCCTCGCCGCTCGCCTCGACCGCGCGTAAACGATTATTAAAGCGGTCTACTGATTTTTATTCGGTGATAGGACGTGCCACGCGCATCCACCAAGAGTGTCGCGCTGCTTTTCCATTTTGCCCGTGTAATTGGGTTTTATTTTCGCCTCCGGTGTAGATTCCGAAAAACGGTGGAGATAACGGTTCGTTGCTTCCGGTTACGGTGCATATCTCGGGCGAGTACGTATCTGCGCGAACGCAAAAGAAATGTGCTCGCGTTTGCTTTGGCAAGTTGCAGTTTATAAGCAACGTCGCGCGACGGCGGCACAAATCGTTTGATATAAAGAGTTGACGGGAAACATGTATTAGTGGCTGAAAAGAGGAAGCGCGGCTGACGCAAGGAGATAAAGCGACGCGCGCAGATAAGATTGTTCATTCAGGAAGCGAGCCCAAAATAAATTTAGTGATGTAAACGTTCGCCGCGTACTTTTTTTTTTCCTTTCTCGTTCAATTGAACGTCCACGGCTTCTCTGAAATCTACGTGGTTCGCGATACGATGCAGTTCGCTGCCTCGTCGACGACACGGGACAATAAACGACCGCAACGCGAATCGGAGGTCGATCCGGCCGGCCGTGGCGATCGCGATCGGCTACCACGCGAAATTCAATTCCAACGACAAAGGCACGAGAGAAACGAGAACACGCGGCGCTGCCGGCAATGAAAGGATCAGCTGCACGCTGAACGCGCGAGAAGCGGAAGTCGGTGACGTCGCTGTCGCCGACACGAGCCGTCGTCGTTGTCGCCGTCGCCGCCGCTACTGCCACTGCCACCGCCACCGCAGAACCCGTTGCGCTTGCGAACTCTGGTACACCGTGATGGCGCGCGTTGGCTAGTGTCTTTGCTGCTGCGGGCCCGCTGCTCTGCGTTCAGCCGGCAATCGTCCGAAAGACAGCGACGCCGCGCTCGTTCGTCAAGATCGATCAGCTGGCAAGCTTGTCCGCTTGATTATGCGCGCGCGCAATTTCTCAATGGTAGACCGTCGCTGAGCGCGTGTTCAATCAATTACGGGTTACCGAGAAAAGCGGCTCGCTCAATAAAATCCATTATGGATTTATACGTCTCTTATGCGATACCGAGGTCTATTAGAATGAAAAAGAAAAATTATAATCGCGGAGTTTAATCGACGCCTTGTCGCAATATCAAAACCGGTCGCGCGGAAAATTCTGAGCTTGCAGTGTGTAATGAATGTGGAATGCGTGCTTTCGTATTTTTTTTTTCACTCGCCGCGGCAGTAGACAGTTGCGATTTGAACGGAAACCGCTGATAATAATTGGCATGTGTGATTTTTGTGATGTTTCAGGAGAGAACAGTAAAAGCCGTGAAAGATGGCGGTGTTCGGGATGATGTCGGCGGTCGCCGGCTTCGTAAAAGTACGATATTTACTCGACAAGGCCATAATTGATAATATGATCTTCAGGGCACACTACAGAATCACCTCGGCCATTCTCTTTGGCTGTTGTATCATAGTCACAGCGAACAATCTCATAGGTAAGTTTGGCTCTTTTTTTCTTCTTCTCCGTTGCGTAATCGCGAAGCTTTCTACGCAAGGTTAATCTGCGATCTCGGTAATCAAACCAAATTACCCTTTACGGACGGATCAATCTGTAATTGCTGGCCTCTTTGTCGTGCGCTCACAATTGCATTCGCTATTGGATATCATATCGCCAGTACGGTTCATCTAAATTTTACATTTTACCAAAGCTGCGACATTCCCGAGCACAAATTCATAGGATTTAGGTAAAATTTCACGTTTGGAATATTTCTTACAACTCAAGCAGGGACTTTCTATCAGATAAGCTTTCTCGCTTGATTCTCACACACGGGTATTGAGTCGCGCGAGTACGTTAGACGACTCGAACCGTAGCTCCTATTGTTCCTTTTAAGACTCTCGTTTCGTCCAATTTTGGTGGCTTTGCACGTTGCGACATGTCCTTAATCGTGGCTTTCCGCTTACTTTTAATTTGTCCAACGGCCAAAGCAACAGGTCTGTCTTCGCTACTTGCTGCTTCTATGTGGGCAGATCTGATGCTTTGCTCGCTTGGCCTTTTTTTCTTAATTCCACCAGATGGTGATTTTCGAAATTCGACGCGGAAAGTCACAGATAGATAAATGAAATTTCAGCTCGATTATTTGCCAAGGGTCTGTTCGCGTCTTGCTTGCCTTCGAAAGACGTCTTTGGCAAAGCAAAGGTTGTCGAGGATATTATAAAATATGACGAACAATCGTTTTCAGGTGACCCGATCAATTGTATCGCGGACGGTGCAGTGCCTGAACACGTGATAAACACGTTCTGCTGGATCACATACACGTTCACCATGCCAATGACATTGACGAGTCCAGTGGGCACGCACGTGGCTCATCCTGGTCTCGGCAACGACTACAACGGCGAGAAGACGTTCCACTCGTATTACCAGTGGGTGCCATTCATGCTCTTCTTCCAAGGAATCCTTTTCTACGTGCCGCACTGGATGTGGAAACAATGGGAGGAGGGCAAAATACGCGTCATTTCGGAGGGCATGCGCGGTGCCACCATGGACACTAAAGTCGAGAGGCAGGCCAAGATGCAGCGACTCGTGCAGTATCTTTGCGATACCATGCACTTGCACAATACATACGCGGCTGGTTACTTCTTCTGCGAATTTCTCAATTTCGTCAACGTGGTAAGTTGACGTCAATGTTTCTCGTTCGCGTGCTTGGAAAGTCGTTGTATGATCCCACTCGAGTTCGCGCTGCAAACGAATGCTAATTGGGCAATAATCCGAAGCTCGATGCGCCTTGCTATCAAGGCACACAAAGCTCGCTTCGTGAAAGCTAGCGGCGAGACAAAATATAAAAATTCATCGTTTCTTCAATCGACTACGTACTTAGAAAAGTAACGCGTGTAATAGAGGGCCGTGACTGGAAGGCACAGCCCGTCTCATAATCGTCAGTCCCTTAAAGACAGCGATAATCACGGATCGTCAGCTTCGCACGTCTCTCTCTCTCTCTCTCTCTCTCTCTCTCTCTCTCTCTCTCTCTCTCTCTCTCCTCTCTCTCTCTCTCTCTCTCTCTCTCTCTCTCTCTCTCTCTCTCTCTCTCTCTCTCTCTCTCTCTCTCTCGCGCTCTCTCTGTGCCTAATTACCAAGCGTGTTAACATCCTCTGAATATCAGCTTTGATAAGACAAGCGCGCATAAATCCACTTCATCACTCGACCTTACGTGTGTTTCAGATAGGCAACATCTTCATGATAGACGCGTTCTTGGGCGGTACCTTTCTGTCCTACGGCTCGGAAGTCATCAAGTTCAGCAGCATGAACCAAGAGGATCGCAGCGACCCCATGATCGAGATCTTCCCGCGCGTGACCAAGTGCACATTCCACAAATTTGGCCCGACTGGCTCAATTCAAAAGCACGACGCTCTGTGCGTGCTCGCACTCAACATCCTCAACGAGAAGATCTTTATATTCCTTTGGTTCTGGTTCATCATACTGAGCGTGCTGTCCGCGCTGGCAGTCTTGTACAGTGTTGCTCTTGTGTTGATGCCGAGCACCCGGGAAACTGTTCTCACCAGGCGATTCAAGTTTAGCACGCCGTCAGGAGTCAGTTCACTCATCAGAAAGACTCAGGTTTGTTGCCGCCAACTTTTCTTTTTCATTTTTGACGAAGCGCGTTAAACGATCGGCCTAAATAGAGAGCCAAATTAGCGCACGTTACAGAGAGCCAGAGCCCTATTTAAATTTACAATTACGACAGAAGTGAGAGCTTGAAGAGCACGGCTGACCGATTCATTTTAAATGCTAAGTGCTGCATTTCCGACCAAACGAAATATGCTTTTTTCCTCCATTTCTTTCGCTCTAATGTTTCGTTTTAATGACACTGGCAAATGGAGCAGTTGAACAATCGTTGCTTCCATTTTTCTCCAAACTTAAACCTGCTTACTTTGTCACTATCTCGCCAATCAACAATTGTATTTTTTTTAGATCGGTGACTTCCTGATGATTCACCTGCTCGGTCAAAACATGAACATTATAATGTTCAATGAGGTGCTGGACGAGCTGTGTCGTCAATTGTTACTTGGCTCAAGCAGCGGCGCGTCACCAGCGTCAATGCCTTCAGCACCGAGTACCATGGAGATGTCACCAATGTATCCTGAAATCGACAAGTTCGGCAAGGACCCAGAGACTTAGAAACAGCACGGAAGAAACGAGCTCCTTACGGCTTACGACACGATATAACACGACGCGAAATGTGATATAGGGCTAAGCTCTCTCTCTCTCTCTCTCTCCTCTCCCTCCCTCCCTCTCCCGTCTCTATCTATCTCTATCTCTCTTCACAACCCGAAGACGAAGTCGGCAGCGGTTGTGGCAGAGAGACACTAAGACGATAGGTGGATGGATGCAAACTATCATATTGTATTCGTATATATTATTTTTTTAAATATCCGCCTCTACACTCTCGCTCTCTTTCTATACCTTTTCCATCGGCAGTACGTCAGTTATTATAACGCCGACGAGCGAAAAAATTAATTGATACCGTCAGCCGATACATATTGCACTTTCTTACCTGACTTTGGACTTTTGTCGATGAAAATCGATTGACAGTGTGCGATATTTCACGTAGTGGTTTTTGTTTAAAGCCGAAATGGATAGATACAATAACGTATCTCTTGTGTTCATAAGAATACGTTTAATTGACTTGCTGTCCGATATTTTACATTTCTTATTTTTTTTTTTTTTTTTTTTTTCCTTTGCCAATGAGAACTTGACGAAAGAAACAATTTATCTTTTATACTAGCACGCAAGGCCTCGCACCGAGTAGCTAGAACGCCTGCGTTAGCCAATTTTTATGGATGATTTTTTTTTAATTAATTCTAATAACAAATTATTCTTGTCTAACTTTTATCATAGATCTGTTGTTTTTCTATACACTCCATTCGAAGCTTTCTTATTCGATATTTATATAAATATACATATGTACACAACCAAGCATCGTCCTTGAAAAAACGCCTTTACAGTATATTTTTTTTTCTGTTGTGTAGGTTTATCTTCATAAAGGCAATTGTATGTTTAAGGAGTATATCGAAAATAATCAAATTTTATGTAGATTAGTGGTGCAATCGTGCCTTTCTTTTCTTCAATGCGATAGTGTGATTGTGACAATAACGATGAAATAACAATAAAATGAGATCAATTATTGTAATATTGTATTCTTGTTGAAAATTTAATCACCGAGTATATAAGAGACGAAAAAAAAAAGAATGTTACTACATTGCCATTAAGCTCAACACACTGCCTTGACTCTTCTTTCTCTTTCTCTCGCTCTCTGTCGCGCTCTTCATTGCGAAATGTAATCATTTTTCTTCTTTTTTTATACGACTCGTAAATCACAAAGCGAAAAAAGAATAAACAAGCGAGCCAGAGGATAGTAGTATTTTTCGAATTTTCCCGCGAGCGGGAGAACGTATCTCCGTCCGATGGAATTTGTTCGTTCGATTAATTGCAATTGTGATTCAACTGAATGACGTAGTAGAAAAACGCTAGCATTGTCGCCCCTATTTCTTTCTGCTATTCCATGTAGCGTATGAAGTGCCTTAAATTTACTATAAAAAGTTACAAAATCAACGGTATAGATGCACTGTATAGAGGAGAAAAAAGTTAAAGGGAGCAGAATGAGATTATGAATAATAAGACAATTGCAATATCGTTTCATCAATAATTTTTATAGATTTGCTGTAAAAAATCTATTAATGAAAAAAAAACACTGCAATAAAGCTACGATGTACGTAGTTTATAGAGCCCGATTATACATAAAATAAAAAAAAAGTATATTTTACACATAGATTATTATAGTCCTGTTCTATGAGTGATATGTTGATGAAATAGCCTTGCGAGGAGAGATGTAAAACATAGGTAGCGCGCGAAGCATATGCACATGAGCTTGGCGAGGAACGATTGAGATTTTGATTATAGAAGAATGAATTCAGAGTGTAGTTACATTTTTTTTTGCAAATTTCACGATGTGCCTCTCGTAGGGTTATGAAGACACTTTAGGTAATAAGAGATTTTATGGAATAATAATGAGACAAACAAACAAAATGAAAAAAAAAAAAAAAAAAAAAAAAAGAATGCTGTATTCGTCAAATATGTTATTTTACGCTGCGATGCAAAGTGAGAGGAAGACTGCCAATTTGTGCAACGCCGTATAAATAAAGTAAAAGATTTGTGAATTTATAAATTTAGTAAATAAAGCTATTTCTTCAAAAAACCAAACGACTTGTTTCTCATCGCACAGCTTTCCGAAATAAAAATCGTAAAATATGATTTTCGAAGCTGGTATATATAGGAGAATAGAGTTGAACGTACTTGAACAAATGCAAGCAGAAAATCAATCCATCGTCATGAAAATGTATACGTGTGCGACACTGTTTAGTCTCAAACGAAGTAAAAAACTATTGTTCATTATTTAATCCATTACTCACCGATTTCCCCAGTCGATTTTGTTGATAATCTGCAGTTTGAGTTCGCGCGTCTGGTCGGTCGTCAGCGTGCCCGCCAGTAACTGCCTCCTCCATTCCAGCAGTTCGTACATGACCTTTCGCAGTGTGTTGAATTTGTAGGTTTCTCGGTCCTACGCGGCAAAAGTGCGCGCGTTGTCGTCACGAAAACAGCGAGAACAATGCTCGTATTGTAGTTCCAATCAACGGGAGAGCGAGGCTGATAGCGCGAGCGTGAAAAAGTCAGCTTTTATACAAACCACATATAGCCTCTTCCATATGCTGCCCCATTCTCGCAAGACTAGCGTGACCTCTCGCACGACGGGATCCTCCAAGGGAACCACCGACTCGAATAGACCTTCGTTTTCTATCCTGCACGATTTCAAATGTACATAGGAACTTGGAAATATGCCTTTTACGGCACGGTTCTTCGTTGAGAATCCTCTGTACCAGCCTGAAACATTGCAATTCATTTTTCCCTGGTAACCGTGTGATATACTATTTCATCTTGAATGCAAGTAGTCGATCAATACCAGCGCACTCCTCGAGGATCTGCACGGTTTCGCCGATTTCAAGTGGGAGACCATAGCGAGTGTCGCCGCGCCAGTTGTAGATGGCTGCAACAGAGGAAAGGAAAAAGTCAGCCAGAGAGGAAGTGTAAAAAACGAGGCAATTACCTTGAGACTAAATTTGTATTTGCATGATGGGCCCAGACGCCGTCGTACACCAACCGAAGATAGGGCGGATACGCTCTCTCTCTCTTTCTCTCTCTCTTTTTCGTTCTCGGTATAGGAATAATTTATAATCTAAATCCTCATTAAAGCAAATCAAAATTGCAGAAAACATTGTCATCGTTCAGTTAACGCTGAGCTAAATAGTCTATGATAATTTCGGTAATGCCGTATTTCAATAAAAACAAAATGCGACATATGCTCCTCACAGACAAATAGAGCATCTGTTAGCGGAAGTTATCCGAATGTCTGGATAAAAACTGGAATGAATTCCGAGTAAATCAAACTCGGGCTAATTATTCGATAAATGGCGTGCAAGAGATCAAAGTGTACAGGATATACTAACACGCGGTTCTAATCGGTCTGGTAATGCTGGAGGATGTCACAGTTGATAATCGAACAAACGAGCTATAATGAATTGTTCACTGATCGTTATATTCGATGGAAACTAATTGAACGCCGGTACGATGCGACAATGCGCAGCTGCATCTTAATCGTTTAATGGATAATAAGGGTGTTAAATGAATGTGAACGTCCCGATGTGGGAGCTAATGTTCGACAATGTAGATTTAGCTGAGAAATTCCATTGAAATTGGCCATTCAGCCTGTATCAACTGTCGCTCGTCAGTCTTATTAATTCTTTACAATCTTCTAAAGCACTTTACTCGCAGTTAATCCACGAGCATTTCAAAATGCTTCACTAGCAGTATCCAGACTTCAACAATCAAGAGAGAGAGAGAGATTCTCGAGATAAACAGCAGCGTAGCGCTCGCAAAATTGATTTGGCGTGCATTTGAAACTCGCGCAAACAAGCTCGCGAACAGCCAAGTAAAGCCAATCTCGAGCGAACTTTCGAGCGAACTTTCGAGCTAACGACAAAGCAGCAGCGGCAACAGTAGCAGCGAGAAACTCGTCAAGACTTCGAGAGAAAGAGAGAGAGAAAGAGAGGAGAGCGGAAACGCGCGACAATGCGCGTATGACGCGTGACTTCCTGTGCGCGCGACTGGCAACCCATGCGAGATGCATCCCAATGAGACTGGCGTGTACACGTGTACATCATGCGTCAGGCGCTCTACGCTCACAACACGTGCCGTCGTCGAAAACGAAACACACATGTAGCAGTTTGAATCAACAGCGAGGATTATGCGCGATCTTACTCTCTGTCCTCTCTTTTTATTTTTTCGCTACTTCTCTCTGCGTCAATCGTACGCTTGTGTTCCGGCTTGTGTCTACACGCGTAGTGGTATTTGGACGCTTGTCGGGAGATGCTTTCGCTTTATTTACTGTTTGCTTACGAGGTTCTTGCGATTCACGTGGGCGAGCAATTATTTGCAATGTTTTCGTTTATTGGTGGCAAGTGTCTGGAAAAAGACGTACGCGCGACGCGTGAGGAATTCGAAATTAATTATTCCAACAGCGGATCATTGAATTATTATGGAAAATGCCGCGTCCGTCGCAAATACGACGTACGCGTCGTTAACGTTTACGAAAAGGTTTGGCGAATAGTCCTTGGTGAAGACTCAACGGACAAGCTTTTCCGAATTTCAGTCGGGATTTGTAAAATTTAAATTGCTCTCATTAGGAGTGAAGCCTCGGCTGAGAGTCACTTTAACTCGAGCCTGTCGCGTTCTCACGGCGTGGAGGATATTCGTCAGCTTTTTTGAGCCCCGCGTGCAAGTACATCCGCACTTCCACGAGGACAATTAAGTGGGGACGATCAGGCGAAACGCGCACCGAGGTAGATTCGGCGCGGTCGGCGGGCATTCAAGCTTGGACACGCGATCTCCCTCTCTCTCTCTCAATTCAATAATCGGACAACGACAAGAAATAATCCTTAATCCGTCACACTCTTTATGTCTGTATATTTGTAATTCAAAACTGTAATACTCAAATGTCAAATATATCGTCGATTTTTTATTTATATCTATCCAAAATTGTTGCACGAACATTTCATAATTACTCATTCAGTTAATACAGTCCACTTTACTATCATACGTATATTATCATAACATACTGTTTTCAACCCGGTTCAATTGGTATTTCACATCTAGTAAGACGAACTGTCGTGTTGACAAATAGAATTGATTGAAAGCAGAGATGATCAATGTACGTTATCATAGTTCACACAGTACTGTAGCACTATTGCCGTTATAAATAATCACAACTCGAGACAAAAAACTAATAAGTGCCTCGGTTGAATGATGATTGAAAAGCTAATTAAATCCATTCGCCAATTGAATTTTACAATAAGCATGCCGCAGACTACACAAGCATCAATGCAATCATCTCGATGGCAATGAATGCTCAAAGCTGTCAAGTCGGCCATGAAGCATTCGCAAGCTGCCGCTGCTACTGCTGATCATCAGAGCAAAGGCGAAAGTAGCCACAATGCGAATCAATAAGCTATGTGCTAATTAAAGCTAACAGCGTAATGTGCCTCCGAGGCGGTTATAATGCGTGCTAATCGACGATGGATTTTCCACTCGGCTGCGACTCGCGATGAGTCCGCGGCCTGCCTGCGAAGAAGCTCAAGTGCGTACTCTTTCCCTTTGCGGCTTTCCTTCTTCTTCTCTCCGCGTCTCGCCGGCTCGCCGGCTCGCAGTCGTTCATTTGTCCCGGTGCTATGGTGCTTTTGATCTCGGTAATACCGGAAGTTCGCGGATATTAATGAGAGACGTTGCTTCTAAAATTAGCATTTTTGCGGGAACCACTTATGTGCCGGCGTATTTCGCCTTTTGAGGAGAGAAACGTTTGCTTTCGTTTCTTTATTCAACTTTTGACTATTCGATACAGTCTCTCTTCGTTTTCTTCGCTGTCTAGAAGTCGTGGGGAGATGACAAAGTGCGTCAATTTAAGTGCACAAGCTCTTTTCCTTTTCTTGAACATTTTTAAATAATTGTCATACAGTATCGAACATAAATTATGAATATGCGACAACACTTTTTATTCTTTAAGAAAACATTTTTTATTATGAATGACATTCAAGCATGATCATGTAATTAACACAAATTTTAAGTTTTTCTATTGTGATACCTTGATCCCGTAATCCTGTTATCCTATCAAGCAAAGAAGACAGACAAAAGGGGAGCGCTGACCACGTCGGTTAAAATTGTTCTTTCCTAGAAAGTAATTAAATTGTCGAGAGAGTGGTAAAAAGTAGAAAAAAAAAGTTTAGCCGGTTCGCTTTGATTGTAAAACCGGGACGCGCTTTCATAGTGTCTGGTACACTGCCAGCGGTCAAGAGATTGGCTTTTTACGTTGTTTTCCACTTGCAAAAACAAAACGACTGGCTGACACTGTTTTCCGTATATATACACAGTTAAACTAGATGGATTTCACGGCTGAACGACGAGGGAAATCGTGAAAAAGCGTCGTCGACCGCATTAAAAATATCTATCATATACATTCGTAAAACCAAAAAATAAATAAATCAATCAATCAAAGAGAACGTCTACCTGATCCGACTAATCGCTCTGTCGACATTTTGCAAGCGAACAAATCTAAACGCAAAATCCGCGGCTGAAGCTCCTTACGTCCGAACGTTCGATTCAACGTCCATCGTAGAAGCCGCGAGTTGGCGTACAAACCGCGAGGGACAAGGAGCAGCGGCGCTGCAAGAGCTCCACCTCGCTTTATTTACCGGCGCGTCGGACGCTCTTCGCCGAATCGATACGCGCCCACGCGCTCGCCGCCGGTGCGTTAGCTTCGTCTACGTCCAGTCCGCCTCCCATTGAACGCGCGCAACTTTCCCCGGTCGCTTATGATTGCCGAGTTTTTTTTCTTTGTTTTTTCATTCCTTTCGTTCGTTTTTTCGCTGTCCACGCGCACCGCGGCTCTCGATTGCACACGCGACGACGAACAAATTAGTGACCACGAAATTCGTGCTTTTTGGTTTAGCGTCGGACAAAATAATTATTATTCTTTATTTCTCGCAAGGACACAAAGAGTAAAGATATTCAACAGCGCGAAATATTGTTTTCCAGCCCAGTAAATCCAATCTGCTCGGCGCGGCGTCGAAAAAACTTTAAATAAAAGTCCATTTCCGTGATATCGTATTCATTTATTTGTTGTTTTGTTCAAAAAAAAAAAAAGAAGAAAAAAGAAAAAAAAAGAAAAGCTCTCTCGCAGCTTTTAAATCGAATAACGCGCCGTGACTGCGCACACGCGCGCTCGCGCAAAATTCAAACGGATATAGCCCGAGTGCGAGCCGCCTGTGGATGCAGCCTGTGGGATCAGCGCGCGCCCGCGCATTTACGTGCGGCGCACGGCAGCGTCAGCGGGGCATTGTTTACGCCCTCTTCTTTCGTTCCGGAAAGCGTCGGAGCAGCCCCTGAAAAGAGTGGGTGCGCTCACCTCCCCTGTGGACCATCTCTCGTCTCGGGATCGGACTGCCACGGCGGAGAAAGAAAGCGATACGGGAGGAATAATCGAGGAACTCGGGAAGGGTCACTCCAGAACAATGGTTTTGGCTGTGCGCATTTTCAATGGGCTTTCTGGACTGGCGTGTACGCTCCTCTCGAAACTGACTGGCGGCGCTGCTCGCAGAATGTTCATTGTTCTCGGTAGCTGCTACGTACGTGCTCCGAGCTACTTTAATTCCTGTCGAATGAAAGTGCTTTGTGGCTAGATTAGAAGCCGATGAAAATTCATGACGTCGAACTCGTACCTTTACGTTTGAGATGAGCGATGCCAATATTTTGTATTCGAGCAGTATTCGATTCGTTTTTATTCGCCTTGCAATGGTGCGCACAAGCCAGAGGATCGACAAATTCATATCGACTGCCAAACAAGAGATCTGGCTTGTTGTCGGCGCTCGCACAGCGTACAAATTCCCAAAAGCACGTGTCGCCTTACAAAAAAGAAGTCGCGCAGCAACGCTATCACGT